GTGCAGAAGTGAAGATAGGACCAGCAAGATGTAGCTGCAAGTGTGAAAAAAAGGTAGTAGAAGTCCGAACGTGCGATGTCGGGGTTATATGGTGGGTGTGGTGAAAGATCCCTTTCGAGTCCGTACAGAGGCCAGCCGGTGAATGCAGACACGTATGGTATTATCTTGATGGAACGTTACCTTTCTGCGCCGGAACTCAATTCGACTCTTTTCCTTGATAGCAGCGTCAACATGCACTAGCATCTCGTTGTATCCTTTACTGTCAAGGGTTTTACCTTTTTCCATATACTATTTGTGATTAATACCACGGCAATCCCACCAAATACAAAAGAATGATCTTTTTTGTTAGTCAAATTACGCTTTACGATGCTGCCGACGGACTCACGGGCGCAGATCAACTAAATTTTTGGCCTATGTTGTTGAAATAAATTTATTTTTCAACACAAGTGACTATCTGGTCCAGAACTTTAACTTTGCGTTGATATTCGAGAAGAATAGTACAGGCTCGAACACGTCTGACCTTATCTGCTTGAGTCAGCTCATGCGGCGCACAGCTGACGTTTATGTGATGCATAGTGCGACTAATGGAGAGATTCATTTTTATGGATCTCACCACGGCAATCTCACCAGATCCAAAGCATGATCTTTTCGTTAGTCAAATTACGCTTTGCGACGCTGCCGACAGGCTCACCGGGCGCAGACCAGCTCTCTTTTCGACCTGTATTGTTTGTGTAAACTTGTCTAACTTTGAACGAAAAAAAAAAAAAAAACTATGTATATAACACGCAAAGATATTACAGAACATAAATTTACTCAATTTTATTGGATTACCAGAGGAGGAAAAAATACTCAGATAACTCTCTTAGAATTCTTAAACGCTAAATTAAGAATAAATTTTATAAAATGTTTACTAATAAATACAAATATTTTAAATAATAAATTTTTCCATCTCTACATATACCACGTTTATCGGAGTGTCGCATTTGACTTTACAATTAAGCTCCGAAATTTCCTTGTTGTAGATTGGATGATTACCAATATACTTACAATCCTACTAGTAACCAGGGCCACTATTAGGGATTTTTGCTACTCACTACATTATCTGTGGCTCCTACCCACACGCCACCAGTGGCCGAGTGGTTAAGACTACTGAATACTGGAAGTTCGAACTGGTTTGGGTTCGATGCCAGACGAATCAGCTGGTTGCATTGTTTGTTTTCACCGTGTGTAACATGAATACAAGCCAGTTCCCTTCAGCAATTAGGCCCTCCCGCGGTAGAGGAATTAAATCGCTGAACACTGGTAGTTCCGACTTGGATTCGAATCAAGGCTAACGGGCCGGCTGCATGGACGTTTTCATAATTTTCTCCATGTGTAACGTGTATGGGGAGCCAATTTCTCTAAGAAAGTTCAACATGAAGGCATCCTACTGTGCTTTGCCATAATAACCTAATCTAAGTCTTCAGAAAATTCCTCCACGAAAGCCTGCCATCTTAAGAAGGTAACCCTCGTGGCTTTGCTACATTCAAAGAGCCTAACGCAATTCTAACAATCAGTTCCTCCCTAAATTCTAGCAAGCGAGCCGCCGAACACTGGTAGTTCATCCGGAGTTCAAGCCTCGATGAACGAGTTGGATGCATGACCGATTTTGGTGTTTTCCAAATTCACCTGCTTTGGCGTAATCAAACTCTATAATTCTAAACAAACTGGCGTTCGGTTCGGCTCCAACGGCTCTAGCACCACGTTCCAAATTATAATTACAGTTCAACAAATAAATGTCTGGCGTATACACATTCGAATAATCTAAGTAAAAAAAAAAAAAAAAAAGGGGGGGGGCTTTTTAATTTCTTCCACAACCAAGCATGCATGCACATAAAGCGAATAAAGAAAAACTTATGGAGTGCAATAGGCTTCTAATCCATAACATATTTAGTTAGTGATCGCCATCATTGGGAGCTATAAAATATGCTATATTGACGGGAAGGAGAAAATTTTACTTCCTGAGTGAGCTAATTCAGAACTAGTGTTATTTCATCTGTCATCTTAAATTTAGGATGCCAAAGTTACGTGACTAACAAAAACCTAGTATTTATATGAAGCTTGATAAAAATCAAAGTTTTGAAGACGGTATATGTGATCACGTTCGGTTGATTACCATTATGATCAGCAAATAAACAACAGCAATTTACTGATGTCTTTCTTATCTTTATATTCAGATGTAGTTTTCAGGGCAACTAGAGAAAATTTATTAATTACTTTTATTATTTTTGATACTTTATACGTACGAAGATACATACTTGTAGGAAGAGAGATCTAAATATCATATTCGAACAAATAAAAATAAATCGTGACGTGAAGACCCTAGAGATACGGCTTCTGATTGCTTTTCAAATTTTTACCATATTAGTAACGATATAATCGAATAATCTTTCAAAGATTATTGTTTACCGATTTTAGGTAACAACTAGAAAACATTTTTTCGAGCTTATCCTCAAACAAGTTTGCTATTGGTAATGAATACTGCTGTATCATGAATCAGGTACGGCGCTATGCATTTTGCTGACTTTGTACGCAATAAATTCTGTTGTCAAGTGCCCTTCCCCCAAAATTCTAAAATTTTATTGCTTGATGCTTCGCTGAATTTTACAATTTTGCTGTACCTAAATTCTGCCGTACCGGCAGTGAGTGATCATGATTTCAAATCCCCCCTCCCCGAGATTTACTGTGTTATCTGAAAAACAGCTCACAAGTTGCTAAAAATAGCTATAAAACTGGTTCCACAGCTTTTAGCAACGGCCTCCCGTTGTGCGTTTGGAAACTCAGCTTTTGAAAGAAAAGGAAGGGGAATAATTTCTCCCTGACTACAGTATAGATCAGGTCCGTGACTTTGTTTGAGCTACTGCAAAATGTTCTGAAGTACACTTTTTTCTGTTTCGGCAACATTCATCTTGAGAATTCAACACCTGTTCATTAGCCCTTAGTAATTGACAGAAATGCTTTTAGAAAGTAGTGGGTTCATCGATACCAACAAAATGGTTGGTTGATACCAATCAAAATGGTTGGTATCAATGAACTGGGGATACGTTAGTTTCAGTTGTTGGGTTCAAATGAACCTTTCAAATACTAAAAAGTCCCTTTGCATAATCGAAAGGATTTCATCTGAGAATAATTTTTCTACTTAAAAATGAGTTTTGCAGTACTTTTTAAATACTACTTGTATTTTTATTTTCGAAAATTTTCATAAATATTGTAATTAATTATTTCCAATTTTAATAACTCGCAGAAAAAACACAATTTTCAAGAAATTTTTTTATTATGGTTATTCAAACTTATACTAATATACAGCATCTTTTATATTCCTTATACATTTGACACTGCATGCTTCAACCTGCATGTAAGTTTCTCTTCCTTAGTAACTCCTTACCCAGAGACGTCTCAATGAAAGCCAAATCATGCACAAAATTTACACCTGAAAAAAAAAATGATAAAATATTTTTAACACCATATACTCGACAACAGAGTACATCACATAACCCCCCCAAAAAAAAAAAAAAAAAAGAAATTGCAAGAAATACAAATTTCTAACAGAAAAATGCATTTTCAAACAGCTGAAATTGTTTCACAAATTAATAATGCAGATAGCAAATGTAACATATGGCACTATTGCCACTCAGTGCAATCTCTGCATATCCTAAATTCTGCTGGCTGATGTCTTCGTAAGTTCTGAACATTTTTTTGCCTCTAAATTCTGCTGCTCAGTGCCCTCTGCTAAATTATAAAATTCTGCTATGCACTATTCTCTAAATTCTAAAAATTTTGACTACCACTGGTTGCACAGGCCCTGATCAAAGCAAAGAGGCAAGATGCTACCTGCTATTGATAAACTGCCTTATAAATACCACAGATCTAAATAAATGTCAGTTTTAAATAAATTAACAATAATAATACACTGGATTATCAGTATATTACTACAAGAAGATGAGTCATCTTCACAACTGCTGCTTCCATGCTCGCAGTGTCATTTGCTCGTGCAATATTAGTCAGTACTTTGTGTGCGGAGGTTTCACATGAAGAGCCTCTACACCTGAGTATAAAATGTTCGTGTTCCAGTAAACACTGAATTCAGAGGGGCAAGAATAACTCTTTTCATGGTGGATACCTCAGTTACCAAATGGCTTTCTAAGGCTCTATTCAAGCGTTGTATAAATGTCATAATTCCCAACTAACAACGCTTCGTAGTCAGACCTTGCTATGTCACAAAAACTAGTTTGGGCATTAAGCTTGAAGTTTTCAACTTTGTGCCGACTTGATATAAGAGTCGGCCAATCAGAGCATATACATGAAACCTATTGAGAGAGAAAGCTGTAGACACATACATGCATGCACAAATTTAGCTTCTCTAATTGGCTATGGCTTAGACCCTCTCTCGCAGGTGTGAATGGAACTCCCACATTTTATGCCTTATGATTATGTGTCTATGACATTTATACCATCATCTGAACGGAGCCTTAGGATGGCATACTAAGAAGATGCAATGTCTTGTGGGGATAAGCAATTTATACTCCTAAGCCTAAAAAAAACACTTGGAAAAAAAGATCACATGACTTAAATTTATTTTCTAATTGCTCTAACTTGAGGCACATTACGAGAGGAAAGCAAAGGTAGTAATCAGAATTATTTAAAAAATTTTATCCTTATATTTTTCTTAAAAATTCTGTAAAATGATAAAATTTTTGGCTTTCCTCAAATAAATATATATGGAAAAAATAATAGCCACATAATCACAGATTTCATTTTGTTATATTTTATTAACAAAATTTAAATTATTAAAAATCTCTTTCATGAAGGGAAAATAAAACATCATGAAAACAATGAAAAAGAAGCAATATTTAAAAAAGATAGTAGGCTTATTGATGAGGCTCCCATCAAAAGAATCGAACCCCAAAATATTTTCATTTGCTTCAGTGTCCCGTCTGAAAATTTCACTGAATATATTTTTAAAAAAAATCTTTTATTTTCAAGTTCTTTCATGCAAAACGTCCAAATTTGGTACAAATCAAATTCATCCCCCTCTTTTTGATAGCTACAATATTATATTTAACAGTTTTAATAGCTATCAGTATGTAAACAACATAATGTAACACCATAAAAGAAAAACATAAATGATGACATTTTAATTTTGGCATAGAGAAATACATATTTACCCCAAAAGAGAGCTTGTATTTCTACCTTCTACGTCAGAGTCAATAACTGAAATGTCCAGATCAGAACTGAGAAGAAAAGAACCATAATTAGTTTAATTAAGATACAATAACACGCCGACCAAGTATTAATTTAGAAGTCAAGCAACAAAAATCAGCATCATATTTTGAAATATTCACTATTTGAAAATATAACGCTGATTTTGGTTGCTTGACTTCTAAATTAATACATAATTAATTAACCATAATTAAGTAACTATAAGAGTTTCAATATCATGCACAGCTAATATCTATTTTAGAAATAAACCAACTTACCTCAAGAAAGCCTGGTTTGTCTTAGGAACATTAGCTGTAACTTCTGGCGTAGAAAAGTCAAATTTTTCACTTCCAGACCTAAGAATGAAAGAAATAAACTGCTATAACATAATTAAAAAAAACATGAATAACACATAACAAATTTAAGCATTAAGCTATGTATGACTACCACCCATCTCAGACAGTGCAACAGATATTGCTGTATACTGTTTCGCCATACCTTGTGTAGCTATTATATCATGCTGTATAACCACAGTTTAGAAAAATTACAAAATGTGTTATTTATATCTATCTAAAATGATACATTACTACATGATTTGTAAGAATAAATTAGAGAGCTCTGTGAATGAAATTCCTTCCAATTAAAAAATGTAGGAATAAAGAAAATGCAGGAATTGCAAATGCAGAAATGAAAAAGGGATTATATTTTTTTGCACAGAATCCAGATGACATATTTTCAACATTTTAGAAATTTCAATAGTAATTTTAGGGGCCTAAAATATTAGGCCCCTAAAAGCAGAATATAGTTTTTAAATGTTCAGACAATCTTCCTATGAGAAGAATTCCTTTGAGAAGTACACATCTGAACCAAAATTAAAAAACATGTACAAGAACAGAGCTGAGGACTTCTGTTTGCAGAAAGTCTGTCACATATGAAAAGTTTCTTATTGGTAGATTTTTGATCAGACAGATATTTTATTGTTATACAGAGAAAGCATTCACTCCCTTTCTACTAGAGATACAGTCAAAAGTCGTTAATCCGGACTCGTCGGGACTTCGGCGATTCCGGATTATCGATTTTCCGGATTATAGATCATCAGTTTAAATCCGTAAGATGGCATGCAGAATTCTAAAATTAAAAATATGAAACGTAATTTATGAAAAAGAACAATTATGATCTAAAGGGTATCAAAATTTACAAAAAAAAAGCTTAATATTTATTTGTTTACTTTATTAAACATTTCTTTCAATGTAAGTTGTTTATTTTGCTTCGTTTTATGTGATAATACTTTCTCTTAATTCTATAAACAGACATAATTTCTTGTTCAGTTAAAAAGTTCCGCTGTTCAAGTCCGTTAATTGCTGTGCCGAGAATACCGACTACTTGTCAATCGTAATTTTTTCGTTTTCACTAACCTCTCTGTCACATTCTTCATGTCTTTATCCATTTTTTGCAGCAATTTCACTTTTGTTTGTTGGACATTGAAACATACTTCGTTTTGTCTTTGGAAGTTCCAGCATCGGAAATTCTATTTGACATAATCGAAAGTTCAAGTTTACTTTTATAAAATTGCTCTTACAGTCTGCAAAAATTAAGCGGGATCCTATTCGAAGATTAAGGAACAACACATCATTAACATTAACTGAAATAGATAATTTAGCTTACACCGTCCGTTATACATTAAACGCGCAGGCGAAAACGTATTCTGCGCTTGCTCACACGCATATGCGCAGTAGTCAAGTTCTTACGCGCACGCGTAAAACGCCTGTGCGCATGTGGTAACACGGCACATGCGCAGAACGTTTTTAGCTTTGAGGTCCGGATTATGGGTGTCCGAATTAACGACTTTTGACTGTAATTCAATTTGGACAATGGCAAAAAGGCTAAGCAAGCCTGAGCGTATTGGTCCCATTCTTGGCACTAGTATGGTTTACGCTCAAAATACACGGCAGGTATTTTCTAATTACCTGCATCCCAATATCAATTCAATTCAGCTTTTGGTGGAATTTATCATTTGTGACATATTTTTCAAAAACTACACTTCACAACATGCATGCATGACAAATACACAGAACCATAAATAAACAAGCAATAATATATATTTATATATAAATTTTACTAAATGATCATAAAATGTTCCAACGCTAAAAGAAAGTTTTAACATCCAAGTAAATGACATAATAAAAAAAAGCAAGTTGAACAGCGAGCACATGAATGTAAAAATGTGCATACATTGGTAACCTGTAAAAATATACCATAGGTAACTGACAAAGCATTTCGTAGCAAACATATGACTATAAAATTTCCAATAATACCATGTAATGATGGTGAATTCAATTTAGATCGCAAGAACATGCTCATACTTTTGAAAAGATTCAATTATTTCAGCAATTCCTTGTGAATTGGAATTTACCCTTTCAATATTTCCCAACAATTTAGTGTGAATGGAGGAATAAATTGTTATAAAAGAATTGAACAATTATTAGCATCCCCTCATACACACACACAAACCACATACAAAAAAAAAAAAAAAACCTTACTTTGTAAAAAAAAATCATCCGGGCAATGATTCTCCTTTGACACAGATGCAGTTGTATCAATAATTTTCCGACCTTCAATAAAAAAAAAATACGCATATTTTACTTCGGAATTAACTTACTACGAAATCATAAACGCGAGGTAGTCGATATAAAGAATAAATTATTTCTCACCTTTCGAAAACATCCGCTTGTTCGGAATCTTCCACATCTCGGGAATTTAATTTCATATTTTTTTCTTGAGCTCGACGTTTTCGCTGAATTCTGGATCTTTTATTAAAACCAGGTTGTTTTTTCTGTCGTCCTTGATATTTTCGCATATTTTTTTGCTAACTGACCACAGTACAAATAAATGTAAACAAAACGAGTGCGGAATAGCAATGCAATAGGGTTGCCGTAAACGTCATTCCGCTGACAGCTGACACTGTTTAGTGAAAACTGTGTATAAAGGAATATATGAAACGCTTCTAAATATTATTTAGAAAAAAATATGATTTATAACTGATATCAAAATCAATTACTTCGTGAATTTTTGCAGAAATAAGATTACAAAGCTAAATTTTAACTCGTAGCGCCTATCTATTGATGGCTTTCCAAACTACACATTAAAATTACGTATTTCAAACTAATTTTTTTTAAATATAATATTTAAGTAAATTTCATTCCAAACCTGATTCTAACATTGTGATTCGAAAACTGACCTATTGCTTTATATTTCTGCCAAATTTCATGCAACATAATTTCTTAATTAGTGATTCTGCGTGTAAACAAATTTTTAGTATTGTAATGCTGCTGTAGTAGACTACCTTAAAACAGTCCGAACCATCAAATAGCAGTATGCCGATATCGCTGCTTCTTGTACATGCCATTTTTACGCTAGTACCGGTAACTACTACTAAATTCTTCATTCATATTCACGAACCACGAGAACTGCTACCATGTTAAATAAATCGATGTCATATGAAGAAGCAAGTCGAAAAATAAGAAACGTATCTTTTCACATTTTTTATTGAAACTTAACAACACGTGCACAACATTACATCAGCATCCATAGCTCGCACACAGAGAAGAGAGAGCTTGGTGTTGCCAATATGGTAAAGATAAATGTACCAAACTAACATAAAGCAATACTTGGTTCGACCCTATATAAAATATACTAGCACTGTTGCTGTAACGACCACCACCCGCCAGACACTGTGGCAGAGGCTATTCTTCTCATAGACAGATATACAAGACATGCATACTTCTCATGAAGCTATTTTTTAAATTTTGTTCTTCAAGTGATTTCAATTTACTGCAATAAATCTTGCATGTTAAAGAGGATTAGGCTTATCTCTAAGTGCTCCCTGAACTACTTTTAGCTGTTTTATCTTCTCTTAAAAAAGGTTAGTCTACAAATTTAAAAAAAAAAATTAACTTCTTCCTGCTCAACTGGATTAGTTATTTAAGATCTTTAAGAAGCTACAGCATACAACAGTATAATTCCATTTAAAGATTAAATGAAAATAGAAAAGAAAAAAAAAAAAAAAAAGCTATGATGGTTTAAAAACACCAATGAAAATTCAACTTACCAGCATAAGATTTGAGAAAGGCCAACAACAATGACCTAAAAAATGGTTCAGCTGTAAACGAAATGCCAGCGTCTAGGAGAGCACCAAATGGAAAGAAAACGTCCATGTTGTAAGCCAGATGAGAAAGTGCAACATTTTCATCAATCAGTGAATTCAACATATCAAGCATTACATCTATTTGCAAATCTAGGAAATTTTCTTTAGGTACTCCCATCTGTTCGAGAATTGTGATAAGGTGCTTGTTCAAATATAATCTTCCTAATAAAATTACAAAACAAAAAATTATTAAATTTTTTTAATGAAAAAATTATGAAAAGTCTCATATTAAACCAATAATACAGATAAAATTGAAAATAATAAAATGTATTACTCCTCATATAAAATGCAAAGATGGCATTAATAAAGACAAAATAACTATTTGTAAAACTGCATATGTTAACAGCCCTTTTTTTATTGTGGAACAAATATACTGGCTTCTATCAATTTTGCATTTCAATAAATAAATTTAATTCAATGAGGATGACATGCACAATTATCATTATCACATTACCAAAATGATGAATCTTAGTTTCTTGCCATTTTCATCCGATTACATTTTTTAGATTTGTCTTTAAGATATTTTACACTACGTCTTAGGGAAAGAAATGCACATAAAAGAATTAAAAGTTCACTAAGATTTTCCTAATATTCAATATTGTTCATTAACTTCAAACTTGTTTCTCTGGAAAAATGATTTTACAGATTCATAATTATATGGCATGAGACACTAATGATACATTTTTACGCAGATACTAAGAATTTCACAAATGAATTTCTTTAAAATAATTGAAATTACAGTTTTATGATAAAAATGCAGTTACATGTCACTTAACTTGCAAAAAAAAAAATATTACTTCCTTCCATGAAATAAAATATGATTAAAAATCAAATTTATCATATAAAATATAATTCAATTGTAAATGCAGAATAAAACCCCCTGAAATTCTCCCTTACACTGGAAATGTAAAGCCAATAAATAATTCAAAGAACAAAATAAAGTTTCTCAAGGAGCTAATAATTTTCTAAAGTAAACTAAAATAATGCATGAAATGTTGAATAACATTTAATTAAATTAATCAGAAAAAACTTTCCATTTCATTAATGATTATTTTTAAAAGGTACGTTTTAAATTAAAACTTTTCTTTGAATACTTAAATAAAGCACATTATACATTACAGAATATAAAATACAGTAAACACTCTCATAGCAACTACTTCCATAACACAGCTCCTTTCATAAGTGACCAGTAATTCTAAGACATGTATAAATATGATATTGATAATAATATTATTCTTCAAGACAGTCACTCTTTAACGTAATTAAGACCATTAAATATGCATAAAAGCAATCATTCAAATATCTTATTTTGCTATCAAATTAAAATAATGTATGTAATGATATAATTAAAGAGATCCATTTCTAATTTTTATTGTAACAATGAAACTAATTTTATGGAAAAGACTTGTTATCACTGTTAAATTAACAATAAGGATGTTTTTTCATTATAGTGTTACAGTCTTGACAGCCATGACATAAACATTCTTTTAATGGGTCATCACATTTACAGCTTATAATTTTTTCCCCTATCTACTCACTGGTGTTGGTAATACAGTCAAAAGTCGTTAATTCGGACACCCATAATGCGGAATGATCTAAAATCCAGACCTCAAAGCTACAAACTTTCTGTGCATGTGTCACGTTCACGCATGCGCGTAAGACCTTTACAGCTGCGAATATGCATGTGCACATGCGCGTTCAATGTATAATGGACAGTATAAGCTAAGCTAAAATTATCTAATTCAGTTAATGTTGCAGATTGCGTTTTTCCTTAATCTTTGAATTGGATCCGGCTTATTATTTTTTGCAGACTGTTAGAGCAATTTTATAAAAGTAAGCTTGAACTTTCGATTATGTCAAATAGAAATTCCGATATATATTTACTAATATGTAAAGGATCTACAAAGCGAAAGTATGTTTCAAAGTCCATTAAACAAAATTGTGGAATTGCTGCAAAAAATGGATAAAGGCATAATCCTTCGTTTCTCTAACCATTCCGAAATCGGGGGGGGGGGGCGCAGCGCGAAATGAATTGGAAATTGATCTGTCAGCACTATCCTTGTCTTCAGGGCAGATGTTTTATTTTATTTGGATTCTAATTCCTTACTAAATGTAGTATTTCATCTCGATGTACTCCGTCTTTCATATGATTTAAATCAAATTTCTCGTCATCATAATTCACTTCTGATAGTGAAGAAAGTGACACAGAGGTTATTGAAAAAGAAAAAATTTCGATTGACAAATTAGTCGGTATTCCCGACACAGCAATCATAGGACTTGAACAGCGGAACTTTGTAAATGAAGAAGAAATTATGTCTGTTTAGAGAATTAAAGAGAAAGTATTATCACATAAAACCAAGCAACTTAAACAACTTACAGTGAAAGAAATGTTTAATAAAGTAAAGGACTAAATATTAAGCTTTTTTTTTTTTTTTTTTTTTTTTTTTTTTTGTAAATTCTGATACCCTTTAAATCATAATTGTTCTTTATTTCATAAATTATGGTTTCATATTTTTAATTTTACAATTTCTGTATGCCATCTTACCAGATTTAAACTGATGATCTATAATCCGGAAAAATCGATAATCCAGAATCACCGAAGTCCCGACGAGTCTGGATTAATGACTTTTGACTGTATATAATAAACCAAAGTTCAGGTAGCATCAAGGCAGTTCATTTGCAATTTTAGTGTTACCAACACTGTAATCAGTCATATTTATTAACTGACACTTTAATGCATGTATACATGAAGTTTTCTAATTTAAATTTCATTCATGTCAAGTTAACTAAATTGTTTTGACCTCGAAAGACATGACTGCCTTCATCCAGTCATGAGACTTTTTTGTCACTTAGCTTAAAATATTTTGCCTTCTTACAAGTATCATCTTAATGAATGAAAGTTTATGAAAACAAAGGCTAAAATAAGTAATTATACAATTTATTATTAGTTAATGAATGCTGTTTAAATATTATTCCTCATGATCAGATCTAAAAATTCATGCCACAGACAGTTCATAACCTCAGATTAACACATCTGTAAAATAATAAGTTAAAGCATTAAATTTTACGAAAGACAAACTGAAGATGCTGTAGCAAAGAAAGCTGGCATAAAGGTAGAATAAAACACAGAATTCTAAACACTGAAAAATTTTAATAAAAATGCAAGAAAGAAAATTTTAGTCTTCGGAAAAACTGATTCAGCTTTGGCCCCCCTTGGTTTAAAAATACTCATCCATAATTCTTTATGGAAAGCTTCAGATTGTTTATGATCACTTTAAACAAGAAAATTAAATATAAGCAAAGGTTGGTCATAATGCCTTCCAAGATTAAACACTTCTGCTTTAAAAGAATCTTTAAGTTCTGTAAACAATTTTAAACAATCAAACTGCAATTTAGGAAATAATAAAATGGCGACTTTATTTTTATGATGCTCAAACTGGTTTAGAAAAACAAATAATAAACAAAAGCAAAAATCAAATAAGGCAGACTCCACTGGGTGAAGATAACATTTTTAAAAATTACTACATAAAATTCATAATGTAAATCTTTCTTTTCCCTTAGAATGTAGCGAACCTTTTCTTTGCTACATCTGAGAAAGAACAATAGTTGTAGAAATATAAATAAGCATCTGTATTTGATTATTACTAAACACAATGGCCACTTTCACAGAAGATCAAAATCATTTGGAGACACAGTTTGCCATCTTAGAGGAGATTCATTGTACTAATCATTTAAGTCTATTCATAAAAGTAGCTTTATTTTCATTATTTATTGCAATTAATTGAGAATTTTTTTATTATAATTGTATTAATAAATACACTGCTATTCAAGAGACTTCAGGTCAGAAATTGATAATTGTCTTACGCCAACCACCTCCATAGAAGATGAATATCATTTGGATTTATGAGTCTTACTTTAGTGAGGGTTCACTATAAATACATTATTAATATAAATATAGATAAATATAACAAGTCCAAAAATTTTCAACTAACTTGGGCCACTTGTTTTGACAATTTCCAACTGATCTGAAGTATAGCATTCAAATTTTATCATGCTTGGCCTAATTCCAATACTACGGCCACAAATATCAGGAATTTCAGCAATCATGCCTTTGCATCCTTTATACCTAATCTGAAATGCTGAAGGTTTATAATTGTTTTCATGTTTTGTAGCGCCAGTATGTTTTATAAGAGCCAATCTTACCTATGAAAACAAAGCATACATCAAGTTATTAAATTAAATAATAAAAAAACTTAAAATATTAATTAAATTCACACATTAAAAATTTGGCATGTTAAAGAATTTTCTCGAGTTTCATTCAGAATATATATATTGTGTCATCCAAAACGTTCTGTGGTTTTTCAGAATACAGTGCACAGAGCATTTTCTTCTAATTATTTTGTTACAGCTAAGAAGTGACCTTGATTGAAACAGGCATTTAAGTACAACCTTTTCTTCTTGAGCTGTGAAATTCCAGCATGTGTTGTAACATATTTTTTTTTTCCAGTGTAGTTAAATAAGAATAAAAAACTCAAAGTTCGTTTTCATCATTTTATGCTTTTATTTTTTTAAAAAAAAGAAAGATGCTAGTCAAATTGCTAGTAAAATTTGTGCTGTATATCATGAAAATGTTGTATCTAATGCATTCACTTCAAAGTTAATTTCTAATGCTACAGTTCAAAGATGATTTGAGAAGTTTACACATGGAACTTTCAGCCTCGAAGACGATGCCTTATCTGTATGACCACACTCTGTAAAAAAGGACCTATTAAAAAAAACTACTGTTCAAAATCCACATTATACAGTTCAGGGACTATCATTTAGAAAAATACAGAAAGAAAATTGGGTGTGTAGCCACCATGATGTATGAATAGCCAATGCTTTAATAGAGAAGAAAATGCTTGCTCAAGTTTCAGCATGCGGTTCTTTGCTGAAAAGAAATAAAGAAGCTCTCCCCCTTTTAAATGGCTCATTACTGGAGATGGGAAGTGAATACTATACAATAATGTTACCAGAAAAAAGGGATCACGGGATAAGCCAAAGAACCTTTTTCAATAACATCAAATGAAAGTTGCATCCGAAAAAGTAATGCTTCTTGTAAAGGTGGCATTAAAAATTATTATGAGCTGTTGTCTTCCATCATGACAATGCTTAGTCCCACATTCTGATGAATAGACCAAGACTACTTGAATGTGGGTGGGATGTTTTGTGTCAACCCCCCTCTCAGATTTTCATCACATTATATCCATTCAAAGTTCTCTGAACGACCTGGAGTTCACTTCTCTAAAGATTATCAAGCATCAACATCGATAACTTCTTTATAAATAAACCTAACAAGGCTTTCAAAAAAGTAATTTCTCAGCTGCCAGAGAGATGGCAAAAAGTCATATTATAAAATGAAACTTTTGTCATTTGATGAATGATTCTTTTGTGGTTTCCTGAATGATTTTTTGTGTGATTCAATGAAATTTTCTTATGTTTTTGTACAACTTCATTTGCATTTATCACCAAAAACACACATAATTTTTCAGATGATCCTACATCTTTCAGAACGAGTCCAGAATATTCTTTGATAAAAGAAAAAGCACACGCGATGTACTCCTCATTCTTTTCTAAGAAGGTATATTATTCACAAAGCAGTAAAAAATGTTCTAATTCCAATATCCAGACACGAACAATGATAAGCGGGCTTCAGCCCGCTCACCTGGCGGGCTTGCCCGCTAGTAATTATTAAAATATAAGAAAGTAAAATAATAAAATTACTCCAGCAACTTTTAGAATAATCTTTTACTAGTGAAAAAAATGTATTTTTTATATAAATAATCTCATCAACTAAACCTTAATATGCAGTCAGTTGCTAACTGCAAATTACGGATCAGCCTAAATTAATTAGTTGATTAGTTACTCTTAATTTAATGAAAAGATAAGAAAACTATCAGATTTAAAATTTTGAAGAAATGTCAAGAAAACTTTCAAGTAATGAATTCTAATTATCTCTGGCTAGGGAAATAATAACTTTTTAAAGTTAGATTTTTGAAACAGCTACTAACAAAATATGCAGCTAATGGAAAAATAATGCATCCATTTCTCCATGTCTGTAATTTAAGATAAATTAGGGATTATTCAGATTATGGCAAAGCATGCAAGGGTTATTTAGCTAAGGAAATACATGCCTACATGGATGACGTGTTTTTAAAAGAAACTCATTCATATTTGCATCACAAATGTGGAAAACCACAAAAAACTTCCTTGCAGCCAGTCTGTTCACCAGGAATTGAGCCCAGATCAAACTACTAGTATTCAGCAATTTTACCACTTGGCCAGTAGTTTGCACTTGTTGAATTAGAATGACAGTGATGTGAAGGTGTTCTTATCTTATGAAAAAGATTTGCCTATCCAAGAACATTCAGAAGAAGATTGAATTAACTAACTGATGATTGATCTAACTGATAAACATTCATACCTTCCTCCAACATTTCACATGTTAATGTTGTGACAGACATTAACATGTGAAATGTTGGAGGAAGAAGTTTCAAGTAAAAAAAAAAAAAAACAGGGTAGCTAATAACACAGTCACCTCAATACAGTTCGGTAATATTTTATACAAGAAAAAGAATGTTGTTTTATAACAGCAAAAATTTTTACTATATACATATATATTTTAGTTTTAATTATGCATTTGTTTATAATTTAAATCAATGTTCCTAACTGAAAACAATCGATAAACTTACTTACTTACAAGCGAAATTTCGTTCTAGTGGAAATTTTGTGGCGAACACTTACGAATTCAATGCAGCTGTTCCCTAAACGACATTTTGTCTTCTAGCAAAATTTTACCAGAATTTCTTCTTCAATAACAGGTATGTTCTACAAGCACATATTTTAGAATTGTGTTAAAGACAAAAATATCAAGATGTGTTTATAGAATCATACAATGTGTCAAGAAACATACACAAAATGTCAAAGTTGCTTTAGAACTACTGCTTGCTAGTTTGGAGCATTCTGAAAATTTGGCAACTTCTAAAATAGTCACTTTAATACAAAGTACCAAAAAAAAAAAAAAAAGAAAGAAAGTGGAGCAAAAATAAACCAACTCTAGCAACATTAATCTCTAATGAGAATCATTAATATGCTGACAAGCTGATTTGAGAAGATATATACATCATAGTTCATAATATTACTGATGTACTGCTGTGTTATTTGATTCTACACAGATAATAATATTTAACTGGGCATACCATAAAGTCTGTTATGAAAAGAGTTCAAAAGCTAGAACAATCTACTATCAAAAATGATTGACAGATGTGTAATGAAAGCTCCGGATGCATTTAAAGCTGAAGGATAGTGTTCTTAAAAGATTGGTCATCACAAAGAAAATGTATGGATCCTGAACAGTATATTTTCCATTGAAGAAATGCTCCCACAAATTTTCTCCAGGTCCCCAAAAAATTCATATCTATCAGATCAACATGAGGTTCACAAAACAGTGTTTGTTTTAGAGCACCTATGACATTTTACTCATGAACCTTCAAGACATATATCCAGCAATCAGCAGCGAGCTCTACAGTCTTAATAAAGTATAAGTAATTAATAAGTTCTATAGTCTATATAATAATAAAGGGTGCTCAAAATAAAACTGGCCCAGAATTGTGTTTCTTGGAATTTCATGAAAACCGTAAACAACAGAGACCATTAGAAAATAGGACAGAGATAATAGGGTATGACAAGAGCACGCATGGTCACATGACAACAATCAGCCTGTTTGAGTGAAAGGTGAAGACATGTTTAGTGACCAGTATATCTCGCAGTATATAAAGGGAAAAGACGTCGTGCCGGTCTCGTGCCTGCCACCAATCCGATTACGATAAGATCTCCCTGTCTGGCGTTATCTGACTGCGATCTTTGACTTGCTGACTTTCTTTCACCATGAATGCTCAGTAGCCACCGCGTCTTTCCGGATTATGCCTATAATTGTTGTGACTTTTTATGCCACTGCTTATCCTTGACAGCGTATCTACGGCGCGTTTTTTATTTGATTTGGTTGTTAATCTATCTAGTTACCCCCAAGCTCACTTAGTTAGGAGTGAGTCAGGGGCCTGATAGATTTCCACCTGCTCATCTGTCTGCCGGAACGCCGTCGTGTGGGTCCGGTTCCGGGGCGCAGGCTCTTTCTCTTGCTGGGGCGCAGGATTTATGGATTCAAGGCGTCGAAATGGATGCGAACCAGACAATTGAAAAACTTATAGAGTTTTACAACATACAAATCAGAGAATTAGAAAAATCTAAGCAACTCAATGGATCTTTTACCGATATTGAGGAGAAATTTCATTCCTTTCTAATTAGCTCACTGGGCATGATTAAGATTCTCAATGAGGAGAATCTTAAAAAATGCCAAGAGCACATTAACACACATCATAATCTTGATGCACATATTGATAATAATTCTCTTTCAGATAACGATAGAGGCCGTAGCCCTATCAAGCTACACGATAATTCGTCAAATAACACCGATGATGAAATAACTTTAGACAAAGATATATCTTCGGACGAAGATATAACATGTAAGCGCAGAGGCGACCAAACTGTTAGAATTCGTAATTCGCACCTTGCTGCAAAGAAACTAAAACTTAGCATGAAGCATACAAATTCTTCACAGCAAATTGATAATAAAAACCAAGGAACAAAAAATACTAACGGCAATGCCAAACAATCTATTACTGAAACCATCAGAGAACAAGCGGATAATCCGATCATGGACACTTCCAATCAGGAAGATGCTACTATCAATCTTGATAATACTTCGACCAATTCTAACAACAAAAATCAGGAAGCCAAATCAAATAAACTCCCTCCAATCATACTTCGAGAAAACAAATTCTCATATAGTAAAATTAGGAATATTTTTAATCAAAAGCACTTCAAATTTATAGGTAATAGTATTCCTGATGGAATTAAAATTACTACCACAGACCCTGATACCTATAGGGCTATGGTTAAAATTCTTAAAGACCTGGGGGTGGAACACCACTCCTACATTCTCCCCCAGGATAGAAAACTTAAAGTTGTAATCAAAGAACTCCTTAGGCGTACGGAGACAGAAGAAATCAAAGAAGAACTCGAGGAACTAAATTTCAAACCTGAAGAAATCAAAGCAGCTAACTAAAAGAAGGAATGGAGAAGTTACTAAACTTCCCTTATTTTTA